TTAATAAGTAGAGATAGTGGTGCCTATAATTACGAAACAAGTTCTTACACTGTTATTTTTATAGCCTCCATAAAACTATCACATCAAAACTGAATTCCATTCTTTTGTTTCCTTTCTTGTAAGAGATTACATAAAGATTCACAAGACTGTCATATTAACCTCATTACCCACTCACTTTTATGATGAGTAACTTTCTTCCCTGAAGACTGTTTCATATACTAAGCATCTATTACAACCGGTAGCTGATACATCACAGCACCTGCTTTTACTCTGCTTTTTAACAGTTAGAATTTTGATACATTTGAAGGAACAGGAATAATTTAATTGAAGTATATGAGCTACCTGCACAATATTAAGAACTACAGTTCATATGCTTTGACCAGAATGGCAAAATATTGTATCAATTACTTACTGAACAACTAAAGAAAATTAGTAGTGAAGACATGTTTTTCTAAACAAATAATTTGATTTTTTTTTAATTAAAGAAACTAAGACCTGCACTACTCCATATTTTATACTCAGTATAATCTGTCACCTCCAGAAACATTAGCTACAACTTATCTCATTCTGAAATGAAAATTTATAGTAAATATTTGACAGTAATCTCACCTTCTAGAGTGAATTTGAGTATTCTTCAAAGTAATTCTCTTCTTAATTACCACAAAGTGATTCACAACTGTTGCCTCACATGACCTATAAATTACAAGTTCAACTTTCTGAGAGAAAAAAACACAGGATCAAGAATTTCAAAAAGTGTCAACAGATTTCATATTCCCAGGGACCATCAAGGAATATAATCTTGTTATTAAAAGATCACAACTTCATCCAGTTTCTTCATTGTTTATTGAGCCCAGTAGTTCCAGTTGGGTTAACAGCAGCAAAATTCCACTTGAGAAGGTATTGTTTGAAAATGATTAGCACAGACTAGCATACTAGATGCAAAATATCTGGAAGACACCTCAGGAATGACTCAGATATTCCTGCAACAAAAATGTTCCTGGAAATGGAGGGAGGCAACTCCAGGCAAGCAGAGTCTAACCCTCCCAACAGCTGCTTCCAATTACTATATTCAAACCAGATCAGCAGAAACACTCCATGACCCAGAAATAGATAGGATACATAAGGACATATGATGTGAGACATGATGGCAGCTGTTTTAAGAGCTGGAGAGTAAGGAAGTTTTTTAGGTTAGATGAGCATTACTGTAATGTGTCAATCTGTGCCTCAAGTTTAACAGGTGTTTTTATTACAGTTCAAGCATGCAACATCTGTCAAGCTCTACACAAAGTATTTTGTTAAGGTAGAACAAACATTTCAAATATTAAACGATCACTATAAAGTCTAAGTAGTAGCCTAAAGAGGAAACTGAATCCAAAGATTCAAACCTATCTTAGAAATGACTAGTCTCATTAGGCAGTGAGAGACCACCTGAACCTCAACCTCAGAACAAGTTAAAAACACTTTCACAGTAAGTCCTTTCCCTTCTCCTGAAAAAAAAAAAAAAAAAAAAAAAAAAAGTTTTTACATAAACCTTTTTAACTGGGAATTAGGATTCATAGCTTCCGAAGACTTTAACACGCAGTTAAACCACATTCAAGGTTTGGTAGAAACCTTCTTTCCAAAGCTTTCTAGTGCACACCATAAGAGGTGCTTGTCTCTCCCACACCCACAAAACAAATTTACTAAGGTGACTACAAATCTACAAAGTAAAGGGTTGAAAACTGACTCAAGTTCTATCAGCAGCAGCAAATCTCCTCAGGCAATAGACCTACATTTCCCAGCTTCTTGAGACAGATACTTCAAATTGTAACCATATCCAGGCACTGAAACTGGAAGAATCAGTGAGCTCTTCACCAAGTAACTGAGGCCCTGTCCATCTCAAATTACATCATGTTGCTATAAAGAACAGTGGTCCCCACATCCCGCAGCTCTGTACTCTTAAGACATCATCACAAAAATTGAGATCCCTCCAACAAGAAGTCACTAAACCACTAGCAAACAGTAAACAAGCTCACAGCCTTCCAGCAGTCTCCCCGAGGCTCCAGAGGGCCTTAGTGTCAGCTTCTGAGCATAGCCATGAACTACACAGCAGCTCCTGAAGTGAGAACAGACACATATTCCATATGTTTTAAGTCATTATTTCAGCATTTTGTTACCAAAAAGCCTCTTTGGCATGCTGCAAGATGACTTCTGGAGAGGTACTTCCATAAAGAAATTTCTTGAAACCCATATGGCACAGCACAAGAAAACCCTGACAAACTGAACAGCAGAGGTAGTCTGGAACAAAATCAAGGTCTTAATATTTTAAATCTTGCAGCATACTGAAAAGAAAATGAAGCAGCTACATTACTGTCCATGTAACGAGCTGACAAAACATACAACACTTGAGCCCAACCCTGTGCACCTGGCAAGGCTGATAAAAACTAGACTCGCCACAATCTGGCTGATATTCCCCACATCCTTCCTTCCAATAGCACCGGTGCTTGCAACAACTAGGTGGCAAAGCAGTTCAGAAGTTGCTCTAGACAAAAATTAACCTGGGTTTTGGATAGATGAGCTACCTAAACAAGCTTGCTGGCACAAAAGACAGTCTAGAAAAATAGATAGCTGAGCATAGGGAAAGCTGAACTGCAGTACTTCCAGCCTATAAACACTGTGGAAAAACAATGCAAGTGGTGTAAGGTTCCTCAACTGTAATTTAGTACCTGTTGAAGATTGCTCCCTTTTTGAAAGATATGTGACAGTTATTATGGGACAGCTGGAAGAATTCTGGATGCTTGCAATGGTTCATGCAGACTGACCAGAGATCAGCAGCAAACTCAAGCACAGCACCTAGGTTAACACCAGCAGCACGCTTGTTTTCGCAGTTCAATTGACTAAGTTACACCGTGAAGTCATTTTGGTAATATACCCATTTACACAACAGTCCAGAACACTGTTTCTGCTTCCTCAAGTTCACTATGTGGCTTGTGTGCTATCTCAGCCTATTCTCATCACTGAGGAAACCTGGCTTTCTGAGGCTGACGGTGCTGAAGTGTTGCTTTAACACAAACAGTAAGAGTCATGCCTTTGATTACATTTCTAAACATGAAGGTCTGTAATCTAGAATATTAACAGAAGGCATTCATTTTGTATTAATTTAACATTATATAACATGAGGAGAGAATTAACAGTAAGAGCAGTCATGGTAGAAGAATGAACAATTACATGTCACTAGCCTGTCAAAAGCTCTCCACACCAGAGAATTGAATGGATTCAGAGGCAAGACAGGCAGGTACTATGGTACTACAGCTGATTTTCTACTATAAGTAAAACTAAGGAAGAATGAAAGGCTGCAACAGGAGAGGGGACATCTGCAGAAGAGGGTCCTATACCAAATACCCATAACCACATCTGGCAAAAGTCAAGTTACATTCATGGGAGATGCTATGTAAGCCAGCTGCTACTTCTGAATTTTATTCAGCATTTGATGTAGAACAAAGACACTTCTCCCCCTTTCATAAAAATGTAAGAGGCAATGCACAGCATACAAGGCTGGAGGATCAACAACTCAGGGTCTTTAGTGCTATTCAACTAAGTTGAGGGAAGCACTTGAAGGACAGGTTTAAGCTAGTGTCAGACATACTAGTTACAGCCATTTTCACCCAGCGCTCCAAGTGCAAGAAAGCACATTTGGAAGCTAACTTTTGACTGGTAAGTCAATCATCACTCACACTTGCAGAGAGATGCTGCTTCCAGCTATTCTGGAAAGGAATAAAAATGGAGTTCCCTCAAAGGCACTATGCCAGAGCTTGCAGTATGAGCCTCAGCAGTTCACTTTTAAAAGATCTTTTAGAGAAAAGATCTTTTAGAGAGCTCTGCATTCAAAACGTTGCTCACAGCATATTCAGTGTCATAAACCCAGGGGGTTTTGTCAGCCATACTTCAAGAGAAATCTCAACCACATCACTGTGTCCATTTTGCCCGTGTACACTTACACCTCAACAGTCCCTAAAGAAATTTAAGGACAATTTGAATGTAAGCATTTTGACTTTGCTTGAAGTAGTAAATGCTTTAAACAGACTCTGAAGAAGGCTTCCAAAAGACATACTTGAAAAACATAGGTTTGCCAGAACAAGTCCACAAATCAGGTTTTCCTCTAATACAAGTATATCATTAATTGTTAACAATCCTATACTCTTCCTTTAGTTAGAAGTTCAGAATGTCAGATGCATATTTTCTAGAAAAAGCGAATATCCATATGGTCATTTTTACAGCCAGAAAGGATGACTTAAGATACACACTCACTAAAACCAAAACTCCACCCAGTTTCACTGCTCTATAGGCAGGAACATTAATTTGTGACAGAGGAATCTAGAAACAAATGGCATCTTCAAAGCAAAAACAAGCTTCCACTAGGCTCACAGCAAGCGGCACTTAACACTTTTATGGAATCTATAGAAGGGGTGCCATCCACAGCCCTTCTGTAGGTTAGGGTTTTGGCTGGTAGAAGCAGCCTGGTTGAGTTGCTGGCATCTCGCTTCACAGTGAGACAAGTTCTGATGCTGATAGCTCAGGGAGTTTATCCTGTTCAAAACAACTTACTTTGCCTCATTAACCAGTTATATAGTATTACAGTGAAAACTCCCATGAACTCCCTTAAATTCTTTCAAGGTATTAGCACAGACAGAATGAACACAGAAGCCTTGTTTGAATAACGCTCCTATGAAATTCTTGACATAGAAAAAGTTTAAGCTTTCAAATAAAGCATTTTCATGACAGGCACTGCCTTCTTCTGTGTGGTCAGTGCCTAGCTGAATGAAGTTCCAACACAAGCAGAGTAGGAATACCAAAATACACTATCCTTCACATTTTATTAATTGGCTTCTGGCAATGAAGGATGCAGGGAACAAGTGTTCCAGCAGGTACAAGCACATTTATGTCAAAGGCCGCAGCAAAAATGGTGCAAACACACCGGACTGAACACAGGCCATTAGCAAGAGACATCAAAAAACCGGTACCACTAAATTCTCCATCTCCTCTTCACAAATACAGGCAAGCGTTCTCCCTCTCCACAGGCAGACTGCATCAATACACCAGCAAATGGAACCTAATAAAATTGGAGCACGTTGGATTTTGCATTTCAAAGAAATTCCTTTTATTCCTCTAAGGAATCATCCAGCTGTAGCAAATAAATTTCATTAGTGAAATCTGACTTGGCAAAGTAAGTTACTTCATTCATTTTAAGACTTTGCCATCTGTTTTACCACCCAATTACAGAAGCATAAGTACTTTTTTGTAGTATTATTGCAAGAGCTTTACTTTTGTAGCCATATTTTGTTCCAGTAACTTCTCCTGTTTACATTCTATGCAGTGCAAACTGTTCCTCCTAAAATCCTAATAATTTTTCTGTTTAATTCAGGGGAAGAGGATTTCATATGCCTGACTCACTGGATGAGACTGTTTTGCAAATACACAAAGACTTGTAATTAACCTTTTGAGTAGGTGATTCAAGGACACAAGTGGTTATAGACCTGATGTTTCACGGTAATACAGCATTCATGAAGTTGAAACACTCTTTAGTCTGATCCTTACCCATTTGTAGATGCTGTTTATTCTAAAACTATTAGATCTGATTTGAAAAACTAGTAGAGTCAATCTAGTAGACCTAAAAGACCCAATCGGGCAACTGATTGTCTTTTAGTTCAATATATGCTTGTCAATCATATGATACATGGCAAAGTTTCATGGCCATTTCACATATGAGTATAAAACATGCAGTGGCTAGAAACAGATGGCATTCAGTTCATGAACTTAGTATGAAATTATTAATATGCAGGTCAATATATCAGTTTCCATATTAAGTGCCAGTGCAAGGTGGTTTTAATCTCATCCTGGTTAAAATACTAATCAGACTCTTGTTGCAATACCACAGAAGACATTTCCAAGTTAAATGTTTTCAAATTGTAAAGTAGTAATTTAAAAAGAGGGTTTTGTTCCTATTTGAATTCTTAACCTCTTATCATGCACATGATAATCCAGAACATTGCAGAACTGTTACACGACTAACAACCATGTAAGTGCACGTTTTCTGTTTTAACAGAACAAGCTATCAAAAAAAAATTTATACTTCAATGTATATGAATATCATGGATCTATTTCTGAACACAGAAGCAAGCATAACATTCATTTTAGGCTATCTGGGTAACCGAGTGAAGCAGCTATCAAAAACTTCTGATAAATTACCTAAAAAAATAGCTTTGTAATCACACTCCAAAGGCAAGGAGTCTTGGAAAAGCATGGTACACTATTGCACATCACTAGATGGGCCTCAAGCACATCTCTTCTTGTGGCCAGACATGCAACGCAAAAGCTAATGGCATTCCAGCGGTGGTCACAGACCAAATCCATTTATTTTAAAGGTCAGTCTCCCCAGGGAAGAACCAGTATAGAAGTCTGCCTATGGTGAAATCTGATGTCTTCATCAACATTTAATTGATTTAATTCTACACATGTTGCAACACTAAACACTACTAAGTGTGAGCTCTATTCCTTTCTGTACACGTGAACTTTTAAATTCCAGTGAGAAGTATGTGACCTAATACTTTTTCAGTGTTGCATGCTGTAATATAGGATTTCCTCTGGCCTACAAAACCTTCACTACTGCTGACTTATAAAAACATTTTACTTCCAGCTGGTCACTTGCATGCTTTCAATTCAGCTGCGGTACTTCTAATAGCATCAGTTCTCCAGAGTCAGAAGCTAACTTTACAGCTTTTTTTCCTTGACAGGTTTATTTTTTTTACCTTAATACACAGAGTCCAAGTCCTGCATAAAATCTGGAAAAGTTAGCATTGTTAAAATCCATTCCAGTTGTTCACAGATGGTCAGCATGAAAGATCTTAGTCTGTTGAGAAACAGAAATTAATGTTCCTGAAAATCTCTCCTTCGAACTACTGACAATCCAAGAATAACTATGCCATCCTGGGTTAGTTATGACCATGTCAGTATTTTATCATATTGTACTTCACTGTTCATATTAAAAAAAAAATAAAATAAAATCCTAGTATTTGGCTACGAGATAGTTTTTGCTTCAGTTTCTTCCACCATAACTATTTTTTTTCCCCTCATATCCATAAAAAAGTCTTACCTCCTAAAACTGTAGTAAAACCTATTAGAAAGATTATGATATAAAGCTTTGCTCCTCAAGCAATGGATGGCTTTCTTCAAATTTTCCAAACCACACTTAAGCTCATTAGAAGTAATTTGCTTGTGCAGTGCTCTTCAAAGTACTCCAGCCTCAAGAAAGTCACTTAAACTATACACATTGTACAGTCTCAGTTCTAACTCACACAACTTGTAGAGAAAAATGCTTTTGTTAAGATTATTTCATTCCTCTGTTTTGACTACAAGAGCTATAGCTCAACCTTTGCAAGACAGAAAATGCAACAGATATAGGTTAACTTTCATTTAATGTTTAAAAAAGGAGGTTTTCTACTAAAAAAGTTCAACATGTGCCAAACCAAGTTGCCTAAAAAGATCAACATTTCCAATAAGATCCAGTGAAAACCTTTAAAGAGACAGGACGGTAAAGAAGTTTCTCAAAATAAAAATCAGGACCTTCTGAGGTTTTTGAATTATTCCAGAAGCAAACATTTCATATCTCACTCTTTGGTTCTTGGGCAAAAAGCAGTTGAGAAATTCTAGCATTCTGGTGAGCAGTTGTACTATAAGGCCTTTTTTTAAAGTGCAATTGTAACTTTAAGCCTATCGGTAAAACTAATAACTACATGCCCAAAAGTTGTCGATTGACAGGGAGCCAGTTGCATGGGAGTAGGCACACAGGCTTTCCTAAAACATTTTGTGGATCAGCTACTGATCTCTTGAAGAACACCATCAATCTACAGATTAAAACCTCCCTAGCTCTGAACACAGGAAATAGCAGCTGGCAATGCCTGCAATAGGATTTCTTAACAAAACAGAGAGACAATAAAGATGTGCAATATATATTGGTTAAAAGTGACTATCTTTCCCTCACAGAAGAAGGGTAAAAAGTTGAGATCATAACTTAAGATCCAAGTTATTATCAAAACAATATGTAAGGAGGACTGAGCCATAGCTTGGATTAAGACCTAGAATTTAACTCCTCTAAATCCAAAAGGCAGTAACTCCTGCTTAACCATTGCTACACAGCCACACCTCAGAAGTTCTTCCCAGAAAGGACACTGCATCTGGAAAACCCACTTGGTTAACTTCTGAATAAGCCTGAAATAAATGCACTTTTTTTTTTTTTTTTTAATTAAATGTTCGAAAACCAGTCCTTTATTTTACACTATACACAAAATAAGTACTGACACAAACCAAATTAATACTTGCAACTAGCAGCTTTCTTATTGATCTTTATCACAGACTTAATTTTTCATTATGGTTTTTATCACAGTCTTCAGCAAACAGGGAAAAATAATCAAGCACTAGCAGCATTTGGTGCATCTCAAGTTAGAGGGGATCTTCCTACTGGGGTACTCCAACATGTTGCAGACCACACTGAATTTGGTTGTGAAAGTTACATGTAGTCATCTTTTCTTTCTCGAAACACTAACCATTTAATAACATTTTAGAGGATGAAGTTGTTTAACACAAAAGAGCTCCAGATATTTAGCCTAACGCATCTTCTCTTTAAATTCTGAATTACAATACTGGACTCTCTAGAGAAGGAATCCAAAGTGCAGTGTTTTCTTTCTAGGATAAGTTTTCCTGTTTTATTATATACCTTACTTCCAGTGCGTATGACTGAACTGGAATCTCAAAGTCATCATGTCTGATCAGCAGTAGACAAAAAATACACAACCTAGAGCATGAAGGAGAGATGCTTTATCAAATCGTACTCAAACAGAGCAGTGCTGCATCACTGACTTCACAACATGAAATATATCAATGTAAATCAAATTCCATGTTCATTTTCAAATCAGTGACAGCTTCAAAAATGCAAAGAAGTCAGAGAATTCAAGTTGCAGTAAGGTGTACTGAGCTATCAGTCATGACCATGTAGGACACATCACTGAAGCATTGCAATGAACCCTTACTTTGGATATTGTTAAATATAAATTTTGACCTCACAGAAACAAGTTAAGTGTGAGATTTAAAATGTTATTTCTTAAAATACAAGAGTTCTGAGGATTGAAATTAAGATCTATTTGCATGTTACACTACAAAAGATGTTAATGGTTGGACTAGATGATCTTCAAGGTCTTTTCCAACCTAGACGATTCTGTGATTCTGTGAAAGGTAGAAATAATTCAGGTGGTTAAGCGTGTAAAAAATTTATGATAGTGGTGTCATACCAAAATATCTCTTCCATACAAAGGCCACTTTAAATCAGTACTATGATTTTACTTTGATCCCCACAGGTAACAGTGACATATGGTTAAGGATGAGCTTCCACCAGCCTTGCTTTGAGTAAGGCCTTTGGGTCCAACTATTCAAACACCTTCCACAGTGTGACCTCACTGGTCAAGGGTGGGTTTTGTGATGGACACAGCATGCCTGCAGAAGTCTGTCACATTAATACTGTGTTCCTGTATATACTGTAGAGTGTCATATTTTGAGGTCTGAAATAAATCCCACTGGGGAAAGTGTTGCTGGAATTAACTACTTCCATACTAAAAGCCCTTTCGGGAAACACCACAGCTGTACCAGCAGGATTACAGTGGCACAGCCCCGAAATGACAGATTAGCTTTACTCTGCGCTGCCTGATGGGTTTGAATGGGAGTACTACCAAAGAGAAGGACTACACCACACAGAGCTGGCTTCACAGAAGTTTCTTTCACGTTCTTCACAGAAGTTTCACATCTGGGAGACTTCCATATTTACTGCACTCTCTTTAATGTTGACGGAAACATTTCTGCCTGCCTATACGTGGGTGTTCTACATAAGCATTCTCAGACTGCTGGAGACAAAGATCGGAGTTAAAGATCAAGTGTAACAGTGGCACAGAAGGGTATTAAGTTAGCATTTCAGAGAGTAAAATGAAACAGGTACCAAGGCCTGAATGCATGGCTGATCCCTGCTGCCTACTGACTAAGCACAGGTGCCAAGCTCCTTTGCAAAATCATATT